TATAGAGAGAGATATAGATATATATGTATATATGTATATGTTTATATGTATGTGCATATATGTATTTTTTTTTAACAGCCATTCATTCCACTGCAGGACATAGGCCGCTCTCAATTCACTATTGAGAGGTTATATGGCAGTGCCACCTTTTCCTTAATTGGATGCCCTTCCTTGGTCCTCACATTCTTTTGTCGAGGCATATATATGTATATCTATATATATATACATATATGTGTGTGTGTTTATGTGTTCATTTATGTATTTATATATATATATATAAATATATATGTATATATGTATATATTTACATATATGTATTTTATTTAACAGCCAACCATTCCACTGCAGGACATAGGCCGCTCTCAGGTCACTATTGAGAGGTTATATGGCAGTACCACCTTTTCCTTAATTGGATGCCCTTCCTATTCAACCGCGGTTTAGCGCGCTAGCACTTGTGCCACGGTGGTAACTTCTCAAGGTGATATGTCGTTTTCTCGGGCTCGAGCGCAAGCACTTTTTCGACCGCTGCAACGGGAAATTGAACTCGGGACCATATATAAACATACACTCACACACACACACACACACACATAAATACACACACACACACACACACACACACATATATATATATATATATATATATATATATATATATTTATATATTCAAATAATGAATGGATCCTATTAAGGTTACAGTATATATTGTAACGAAGGCCGAATGATCGGTAGAGTGCAGACAAGTCGCGTCTGGCACAATGTGGTAATCTTGTGTTGTGGTTAGGTGTGACAGACCTCGTTTACTTCTCGACAAGTGCTGTAGGTTGTCTGTCGCTCGCAGGCGATCCTTTTTATACAGATTGGATTAGGAAATTGACAAGGTTGCAATGTGTGTGTGAAGGAAAGGATGTGATCGTGTAAGCGGGGCGACGTCACGAGACGGAAGGCCTGCGGATGTCGCCATCTATCGACGTCGATTATGGCATTATTGCTTGGGCGAAAGAATGTGAAGAGCAAGCTGTTGTCCATGCAGCAGGCTCCTCTCTCTCGCAGCTGATGGATCCAAAGGAACGGCATAGACCAAATCAGTCTGGCATCGTAAGAGTTGCCAGAAAGAGGTCGCAAGCAAGAACGTACTGCCTTGGTTACTCAGGCTCCGGATTTTTGACTCCCGGAGCCTGAGAGTCAAATATACATATATATACATATACATGCATAATCGATTGTGAACTTCCATAGACTTTGGCCATACATGGACTGAACTACAAGGCAGCAGTCGAGTACCACTATCCTATCTACGTAAGACTGACGCAATATTTGCAAGTACGTGCGTGTATGCATGTGTATGTGTGTTCTCCTTACTTCCATTTTTTTTCGACGGCGCTTGTGCTGTCATTCGATATCATTTTTTCGCAAACAGATAAGCTTGTTTTATTAATTTTAAGTGGCTCCGGCATATAGATAATAATGTCACTATCCAACCTACATTCGTAGGATTACGGTGTTAACTGGCTTGCCTCGATATTCCATAACACCATCGATTTTTCATATTAGTTTTTGTAAAGATACATGTATATATAAACACAAACACAGTAACGTGTACACAAAGATAAAAAGGAAAACAGCCACAGTAAGAAATGAATACTGTGGTTGTTTTCTTGTCCATGTGTGTATAGACACAAACGCACAAGGAGAAAGAGAGAGAGAAAGAGAGAGAGGGAGGGAGAGAGAAAAGTAGAGAAAGAGAAAGACAGATAGACAGAAATTATCAAACGTAAAACCTACTCACATTACACACAATGTCCCGGCTTTAGGCCAAGATATCCGTGTACCTTTCACTTCGACGACGTTTAAAAGTAAGTAGTGTAAACCTGAATACACGTCATACACCGATACATTTAACGCTTAATACACCCATCTGAAATTCACTGAAGCTCAGACCCACTGTACAGGACGAACAACGCAACAATAATAATAGAGAATGCATTTGTGCAGTCCTCAAGGTCAACTACTCACTTCGACATCCGTTCTTTTATATCACAGCTCGCTTGTTCGCTCGCTCTTTCTGTCTGTTGGTCTGTCTATGACCTCTCTCTCTCTCTCTCTCTCTCTCTCTCTCTCTCTCTCTCTCTCTCTCTCTCTCTCTTTTGTTTGCCCGCGGATAGTTTTTTTGTTAAAACTGCTAATTTGTCTTTTTCTTTCCCTACTTTTTCAGTAATATCTTTGTTAGCCAACCTTACGACAAAACACTTCATCACTTCGTTTCCTTTTACGACATCCGAAAGTGATCAAAACTAAAAACAGTTGTCTCTTGCACCGTCATTTCCTCGGACGCCAATGTGCCACTACACCGGTTATCTGTCTGTGCATGCGCGCGCGCGCGTGTGAGTGTGAGTGTGTGTGTGTGTGTGTGTGTGTGTGTGTGTGTGTGTGTGTGTGTGTGTGTGTGTGTGTGTGTGTGTGTGTGTGCGTGCGTGCGTGCGTGTGTGTGTGTGTGCGT